AAACTGAAGCCAGTTATTGTTCAAGTAAAGAGGGCTTTTGGCTGAACTACCTGGTTTAAAGTGAATTTGCTTGTCTGTAACAAAGGACGCTCCAAGACAGGTTGAGGGGAAAGTGCTGAACTAGGATACATCTACCTTAGAAGACACTGGGTTTATACCCCACCCTTCACTACCTGAAAGAGTCTCGGAGTGGCTTACAATATCCTTTCCCTTTCCCTCCCCAACACTGACACCCTGTGAGGTAAAAGAAGAAGAAGAAGAGATTGGATTTATACCCTGCCCTTCACTACCCAAAGGTGTCTCAGAGCGGCTTACAAACTCCTTTCCCTTCCCCTCCCCACAACAGACACCCTGTGAGGTAAAAGAAGAAGAAGAGGAGATTGGGTTTATACCCCGCCCTTCACTACCCAAAGGTGTCTCAGAGCGGCTTACAATCCCCTTTCCCTTCCCCTCCCCACAACAGACACCCTGTGAGGTAAAAGAAGAAATTAGATTCATACCCTGCCCTTCACCACCTGAAGGAGTCTCAGAGTGGTTTACAATCTCCTTTCCCTTCCCCTCCCCACAACAGGCACCCTGTGAGGTAGGTGGGGCTGAAAGAGCTCTCTCGAGAAGTGCCCTTGAGAGAACAGCTCTGGGAGAACTTGTGACTGACCCAAGGTGGCACCAGCAGCTGCACGTGGAGGCATGGGGAATCAAACCTGGTTCTCCCAGATCAGAGTCCGCGCTCCTAACCACGATACCAAACTGGCTGCCAGCCTCAAGGCAGGGCCTGGAGTTCTCCTGGAACGGCATCCGGTCTCCAGACTGAAGAGTTCAGTTCCGCTGAAGAAAATGGCTGCTTTGGAGGACAGACTCTACGGCATGCTGAGGTCCCTGGCCAAACCCTGCCCCCTACTAGCCTCCACCCTCAAGATCTCCAGGTATTGCTCACCCCAGATCTGCCTACCCTAGTTTTCCATCTATGAACTTACCCAACTGCTGTGGAGGCCTTCCAAAGTCCTGCTCGTTGGAGTGAACGACTCAGCATGACTGGACACTGGGGGGCGCCACATCACTCTAAGGGTGTGGACAGACGGCCGGCTGGGAGCAGTTTAAATTGCCAGTTAGTGGTTAGTGGTGTAGTGGCTAAGTGTGCGGACTCTAATCTGGGAGAACCGGGTTTGATTCCCCACTCATCCACTTCTACCTGGCTGGATGACCTTGGGCAAGCCGTAGTTCTGATAAATGCAATTCTTGGAAAAAGAGCAGTTTCTGTCAACCCCACCTACCTCGCAGGGTGTCTGTTGTGGGGAGGGGAAGGGAAAGGAGTTTGTAAGCCGCTCTGAGACTCCCTTGGGTAGTGAAGGGCGGGGTATAAATCCAATCTCCTCCTCCAGTTTGGTGTAGTGGTTCAGTGCGCGGACTCTAATCTGGGAGAACCGGGTTTGATTCCCCACTCATCCACTTCTACCTGGCTGGATGACCTTGGGCAAGCCGTAGTTCTGATAAATGCAATTCTTGGAAAAAGAGCAGTTTCTGTCAACCCCACCTACCTCGCAGGGTGTCTGTTGTGGGGAGGGGAAGGGAAAGGAGTTTGTCAGCGGCTCTGAGACACCTTTGGGTAGTGAAGGGTGGGGTGTAAATCCAATCTCTTCTTCTTTTTCTTCTCCAGCCCCGATACGGTTTTTTTTAACCTGGAGAATCGCGATCACACTCACCTCCTTGCTCCGGATTGCTGCGCAGCCACATTGCTCCCCGCCATCCACAGGTGGGAGCGCGAGTCGTTGTTTTTCTCTCTCTCTGTTTGGGCATGCACACAGGCAGCCATCTGTAGAACTAAAATTTTTGCGCGTGCGGAGAACAGCAATTCCCACTTCAACCCGACTGCTGTAACACTTCCCTTTAAATGTTTACCCCGAGAATGGCCTTTGTGAGATCCCGAACTCATCTAAATGCTAAAACTAGGCACCGTTTAAACATTGTTTTAATAACACGGTGGCGGAGCTCTGCCTATGCGCACACTGCCAACACTTTTTAAAAAATGGTGGGCGAAAAGTGGAAGCCTTGGGCAGCTTTCAAGCAGGGAGGGGGTTTAAACTGGAAGTGGCTCGACACCGGAGGAGCGATCACACAGGGGTGTCAGCTATGGTGCCATGAAAGTCGGGGAGGTTGGTCTGTGTCTGGTTAATTGCTATTGCTTTCCTTTCAGGTTAATTGCTATTGCATTCGTTTCTGTGCTTTTTCTGCTGTGCGCCGAAACGCTTATCTATACAGATGTGCAGGAGGGTGTTGTAGTGTCTGGGATTTCATTAGGTGCCGTGGGAGTGTTCGTTCTCAGCTTCAGCTACCTAACGGTCTCTAAGCCTTAGCCCGCGTGTGGGAGGCCGCCTAATTGGCCAGTACTGTGGGGGTGTGTGTATATGAATACCCTATATCCTATTATGCCCATGGGGCCGTCGCCATTCTTAACAGTGCCTATGTTACTGCATCTATAGCTCTGCAATAAAAGTATAACCGTTCCTGAATGCGTGTACTTCGTTGTTGGCTGTGGGTTCTGACAAGGGGGAAAAAGCGGCTGGAAACAGAGAATCAGGAAAACACCACTTGGGGACCTGGTAACTGCGAGAGTTGGACTATAAGGAAGGCCGAGCGCCGAAGAATAGATTCTTTTGAACTATGGTGCTGAAGAAGACTCTTGAGAGCCCCTTAGACTGCAAGAAGATCAAATCAGTCAATCCTAAAAGAAATCAACCCCGACTGTTCCCTGGAAGACCAGATAATGAAACTGAAGCTCAAACACTTTGGCCCCCAAATGAGAAGGGAGCACTCCCTGGAGAAGACCCTGATGCTGGGAAAGACTGAAGGTCAAAGAAGACGGGGACGGCAAAGGATGAGATGGTTAGACAGTGTCATCGATGCAACGAACATGAAGTTGAGCAAACTTCAGAGGATGGCGGAAGACAGGAGGGCCTGGCGTGATCTGGTCCATGGGGTCGCGAAGAGTCGGACTCGACTGTGCGACTGAATAACAAAAAACAAAATACTCCAGTTTAAAGGGGATTTGAGCTGGAAAGCGATGGCTGGGGACGGGAGGCAGATGTTGACTGTGTGATCACGCGTACAAAATCTGTTTCTGAACTGGCATGATACCAGATCAAATGGCGTGTCTGAATGCACCCAAAGTGTGTATAGGGGTTATCTCCTTGAATGGGAGGCCTCTCTTGGTCTTCAGCTGGGAGCTGCCCTCTGACCCCCTCCTCTCTTGGTCCTCTCCCTCCAATCACATGGCCTTCCGGGGAGACACACATCTGTGCAAGTCTCTCCCGTAGAGACAGTGCCCTCCTACTCCCGCACACACGATGCCAGCCAAGCTGGCCATTTGTGATAACAAAAGTGCTCTTTAGATTCGGCTTCTCTCTCTCTCCTTTCGACTGCAACCTAAATGTGAACTGGATCTACATGAATAAATGTTAAGTTTACCTTTTTTTGCAATATACTCCTTGGGGGATTTTCTTACTGCACTCAGTATCACGCTTCTATGACTAGGCAAAACGCTTGCTATACTAACCAAATATCCCAATCAGTGTTCCCTCTAAGCTGAGTTAGTGTGAGCTAGCTCAGTTTTTTAGCCTCCGGCTCACACATTTCTGTCTTAGCTCAGGAAGGATGGCTCCAAAGCAAACTAATCCATGCAGCAGCCGAATCACTCGCTCACCACTTTAATGCCAGTCGCTCACAAAGTGGAATTTTTGCTCACGAGACTCCACGGCTTAGAGGGAACATTGATCCCAATACTGCTTTCAGTGCCCCCTTCAGAGATTTGAAAGGGGGGAAACCCAAGAGAGAGAGGGCTTTTCCTGTTGCAGGTATTCGCCTGCCTCCTTTGGTCAGTGACTTCTGCTAGAGTGAAATTGTTTGTGTTTCTTCTGGCACTTCCTCAATGATCCCTCCTCTCTGCTATGTTTTAATTACTGTTTTTCTGTGGTTTTTTAAAAATGTGTATTTTAAAAGAGACCAGGAGCAGAGTGACATGTCTTTGGCAAAGGCAGCCAGAGACCACGCGCACACGCACACAAGACAACGCCCACCCCAGCTTGTAGGATCTCTGCCTGCCTTCAGACTAAACAGTAGGAACAGTCCGGCTTATACACGGCTCCTTTGACAAAGTCAAACCCAACACTGGTCTCATCTTAAATTTGTGGCCACGGTGGTCGAAAAGAGCAAGATTCCAGCAGCACCTTAAAGACTAACAAAATTTGTGGCAGGGGAGGAGCTTTCGTGAGTCACCGCTCGCTTGGTGTAGTGGTTAGGAGTGTGGATTCTAATCTGGGAGAGCCGGGTTTGATTCCCCACTCCTCCACATGAAGCTACTGGTGTGACCTTGGGCCAGTCACAAGTTCTCTTAGAGCGGCTCTCTCAAGAGCATTTTCTCTCAGAGCTCTCTCAGCCCCACCTACCTCACAGGCAGTGTTCCCTCTAAGCTGATTTGGTGTGAGCTAGCTCACAGTTTTTTAGCCTCCGGCTCACCCATTTTTGATTTAGCTCAGGAAGGAGGGCTCCAGAGCAAACTGATTTATGCAGAAGCCAAACCGCTCGCTCACAACTTTAACGCCAGTAGCTCACAAAGCGGAATTTTCGCTCACAAGACTCCACAGCTTAAAGGGAACATTGCTGTTGTGGGGAGGGGAAGGGAAGGGAAAGGAGTTTGTAAGCCGCTCTGAGACTCCTTTGGGTAGTGAAGGGCACGGTTTAAATCCAACCTCTTCTTCTTCTTCTTCAGACAACCAAGTGGAAAACGTCTCTCCTTGCTGGGCTGTTAACGGCTTGCACCACTGTTTTGTTTCTATCCCTCTCTTCCTCAGCAGGACATTTGAGTCTCGGAAATCACGTTGAGAAGAAGATCAGGCCGAGGAGTGACCTGCCTGACCCATATATGCAGCTGAAAGCCCGCTACGCACAGAACAGAGGAGAGCCAAAAGGTAACACAAAACAGAACAGAAGTGTATTTTACAGCTCGGCGCTTTGTACAACCATCGGTGGCGAAAACAAGCTTTTCCAACAAAGATGTCGTGCAGAACCACAGGGGAGCAAACCCTGCTATATCCTAGCACACAAATACAGTTTTGCATCAGAGGGTACTGAGGGTGGCGGGCCCGTTCGTCTCATCCAAGAACAGGTTCTGTCGCATTTTGGGGGAGGGGGGAGAACACAGGACACAACTTTAGATGGGGAATAAAGAGTTAAAACTGGGCCCGCGTTTTTAAAAATGCATCTGTACAGGGTGGGGAGCTTTCCTTCCAAGCGGAGAGAAATTCCCTTCTGAGCAAGACCCAGGAAAAGTGAGCAGGAGGTGGTCAAATACGCATCCCTATGCAGGACCCGTTCATTTTAATGAGACTTCTGCAGCAGACGTCTCCAGACAATTTGCATCTAGCCCTCTAAGAACTAGCCAGTCGTCCCCCACTTTGGCACGGACAAAGGGACACTCTTCCCCTGGGACTCCTGTGGCCCAATAAGCTCTCGGGCAATTTCTATCCAGCCAAAGCCCTCCGAGAACCAGCCGCTTCTTCACCTTTGGTGTGGGCAACGGAATGCTTTTCCCCTGGGACCCCTGGGGCCAAGAAACTCTCTCTCTCTCTCTCTCTCGGTTCTATTTGATGATGGCCTCTAAGCTGTTCCGACATTCAGGGGGACTCTCCTCCTCCAAACGGAGACCCGATTCCTCCCCGTTTCTAACGTTCCGGAGGGGAGAAAAGGAATAACCAACTTTCGAAAACAGCCTCTTGTCCTGCATTGCATCAAAACCCGTTAAGGCATTTTGACAAGGCTCAGTCCTGACGTTGCAAGGAGGCGGTTCCGGTTTGGACCTCACCTCCTGCCTGTTTCCTCCGGTTCTCCTACTACCTCCTCTGTGCCTGTCCGCCTTCCGGGCCTGTCTCAAGTCATGTCTGCAACGCAACGCCCTAAATGGGTTTCAGTGTGAACCCTGGAAGGGTGTAGCTTGCTAACAACTCTCCTGTGTTCACCTTTGGCTCACAAAGCAGAGCACAGCCACAGAAAAAAAAAAATCACCGTTCCCAGGGGATGCCTACAGAACGCCACGACTGGTTCAAAACCCAGCTCGTCTCTTTAGTGTAGAAACAGCCCCTGGGCTCACTGGAAACTAAAAAGCGAGCAGATCTTTGCTGAAAAGGAGACAGGAGTAGAGAAAACAGGAAAGCTACCCAGAGCCATCAGCCAGATGGTTCAGAGGGAACCTGGAGCCAAAGCGACACCAGGGATTTGGGCATTGGAGTAAAATGAAAGCTGCTAAACTGCCCTTCCCGAGTTTTTGCTGTTTCAGTTCCGGGACTGCGAACTTGGTGGGTAGAGCATCTGTCTGTGCCGATGCCATTTTGTTCCTTGCTGGTACCAGTCCGCTGCACGGCGATGCCTCCTCGGGAACACTTTTCCGGGAAGCCTGGTCCTGTCCATCCGCTCTGCTCCAAAACTCTGCCGCTTGCTTCCGAAGAGACAAAGTCCCCGACGCGCGTGCCAAAGGGAAGGAGCCCGAGTCCCACGGCACGGCTACGTGCCACCTGGGCTCTAGAAGGTGTTTTTGATCTTGGCCGCCACCAGCATCAGGATCTCCCCGATCTTCCTCTGCCAGTTGCTGATGTCCTTGGAGACCTCGCACCACAACTCCCCGTGGCGCGGCTCTGCGTTCTCGCAGCGCTTCCGTGCCTCTTCCTGCTGCTCCTGTGTAGGTACACGGGGGGGGAGGGGGGGCTGTCGTCACCCTTTGCTGCACGAAGCGTTCTCGCCCCTCCTAATCCTCCGCCCTCAATCCCATGAGGATCGCCCCTCCCCGTCTGTCCCTTGAAGACTGCAATCATGTCCCCTCTAAGCCTTCTCTTTCCCAGGCTAAACATACCCAACTCTTTCAGCCTTTCCTCCTATAAGACTTGGATTCCAACCCTCTCACCATCCCGGTTGCCCTCTTCTGGAGACGCTCGAGCTTGTCAACATCCTTCCTAAAATGTGGTGCCCAAAACTGGACACAGGACTCCAGGGTGAGACCTGGGGGACCTGGAATAGTTCCGCAGGGCCGTGAAAACGGAGCTTTTCCGGCAGGCATTCCGATAGGAGCTGCACCTTATCAGCTACGCCCTTGTGCCGACTTACTTCCAGCCGAAGCTACCTGGGGTGGATGGTGGATGCACCCCTGAACATGCTCTTAGACGCACTTTACTACATCTGGATCGCCCCTGACATGTTAACGGCCTAAACCGTTTTATTGTGTATCTTATACTGAGATGTATTTTTGTTATTTATTGGGTTTTGTGTAAGCAGCCCTGAGCCTGCCTCGGCAGGGTAAGAGTCTAAATGAATGAATGAATGAATGAATGAATGAATGGATAAATATTTTTCTTTTATGCAATTTGCTGCCACCTCTGGATTTTACTGTTTTAGTGATTTTAATGTAATGTAATTGTATGGTAAGGAGTATTTGACTCTGTTTGTCGTGGTTCGCCCTGAGCCCGCTTGGGGAGGATGGAATAAAAAAATCCAATAAATAAATGAATAAAAATAGATCCACTTTTCCCGTGAGGCCAGGAGCCGCAGGGCCAGCCCCTCTGCTCTCAATCATGCCAGCAGCCTCAGCTGTGGGTTTGTCTGTTTGCCTACCATCTACTTATTTTATTAGGGATTTATTTAGTCACTGCTCACCCAAAGGCTCTCGTGGCCACTTACAACATTAAAACCAATGCGGTAAAAACAAATAACAAATATAAAATATTACCATTAGAATATTACATTACTAAGTTATTAAAATATGTGGCTGTCACCATACCACTATTCAAACGGCCCAAACACGTGGATTACCCCTCCAAAGGCCAACCTAAATAATTCAGCCTTGCATGCCCTGTGGAACCTAAACAGGTCCGGCAGGGCACAGGTGTCATCCGAGGGTCCATTCCACAGGGCAGGGGCCACACCTGAGAAGTCCCTTCCCCTGGTAACTGCTAACCGAGGCATCCTGGGGCCAGGCACCTGCAAGAGGCCCCAGAGGATGACCGAAGGGAATGGGGGGGGGGCACAGCTTAGTAGCCCCTTGCACAGTTTTCTGCATGTCACACCCCGGATTCAAGACCTGCCATTTCCAGATCAACAGGGGAAAAGCGGAAGAAAGACTAGAGATCCAGGAAAAGGACCCAACAAGACTGGGAGGGAGGGAGGAAGGAAGGAAGGAAGGAAGGAAGGAAGGAAGGAAGGAAGGAAGGAAGGAAGGAAGGAAGGAAGTCTCAGGGACAGGTTTGTTGGGGAGAAATGGGCCCTCTTCAAACAGGCTCAAGGGAGGGGGAGATGCACAGGTGAATAGAGATTTTAGAGGGGATGTAGATTCCTTCCAGATCCCTGGAACACAGACCTATCTCAACTTTTGCTTACTTGGAAACAGGAAGTGACCCTGTTCTAGAAGCCACTGATGCTTCCTGCTCCCCCAAACTAGGAAGTCCCCTGAGTAGGTTCTGTTAAGCTGCCAGATCTCCCCCCTCCAAGTCACCTCTGTGCCATGCTGAAGCTCAAACTTGTAGAAGAAAGCCCAGGCGTCCCCCAGATCAGAGTCGATCTTCACCGTCCGATGGAACCACTCGCGAGCCTTGGTTATTTTGCGCTCGCTCCAGAAGAGCCTGGGAGAGGGACAGGTTAAGCAAAGGAAGACAAGTTAAGCAAAGGAAGACGGTGGCCGTTGGGCCACCGGCAGATCTCTGAAAATGCCTTTAGCGATTGGGGCATTTGCCCTGAACCCGATTCACCGGGGAAAAGCGGTGAGAGAATAAAACGAACACTGTGGAGGGAGCCGCCCCTGAAATGTTCTTTTAATCTGCACAGCCAAATGGATCTTCAGCAGCCAATCAGAAGCACTGCTGGACAAGTCCTTACCTGACTCCACCCACTTTCTAAAACACTTGGTGGGCACCAGTAAAGGTGTCGGTGGGGACTAGGGCTCCCACGGACACCAGGTCGGGGACTCCTGCACCAGGGATTCAGGTTTCCCTACCTGCACATGAATCTGTACATGGAGTTGCCTTACACTGGATCAGACCCCTGCTCCATCAAAGCCAGTATCCTCTGCCGTGACTGGCAGAGGTTCTCCAGAGTCTCGGCTCTTGCGTATCACCCACTGCTAGAGATGCTGTGGACTGAACCTGGGACCTTCTGTATGCAAGGCAGACACTCTCCCCCTTGGGCATCGCCTCTCCATCAACGGGGAAACTAATGCGTGAAGGTACTCACTTGGCCACGGCCAGGAGGACGTGGGGGTCATGCTCACACTTCTTCAGGGCGTCCACGCTTTTGGTTTTCCTCTGGGGCCGGGCCTCGAGGAAGATCGCTTCTGACCACAGGATTCCTAAAAGAAGAGAGGCGGAAATCAGCATCCTTCAAAGACTCCTTTACCATTGCCAAGAAGCAGGGAATGCTGCGGCTAACAACAACAACAACAACAACAATACCTTTCGATTTATTGATCGCTCATCCTGCAGAGCTGCTGGCTCCGAGCGATTTTCAGTTACTCAAGCTTTCACACGGGACTAACAATGATTCATAGGGGGTAAGGGAGGACAACATATAGTTCTTTAAATCGCACACTTTTGCAGTCGGCGGGGATTTTGTTCAGCTGTAAGCTTCAGGCGTGTTCCGGACGGCATTCACTTTCAGCTTGGCTGAATGACGTCAGTTCTTCCAGGACTGCTTTGAGTCGTAGTGCCGCACTGCCACCGCCTGGCCAACAAAACCCCCCACGGAAAGAATTTTCCCTTCTTGTTCCAGCTGCTTTGGCACCCACAGACGGCCACGTGAGCCCAATGTGTTTCAGTGGCACATATTGCCCTGTGGCCTGTCCCACTGGAGCTGGCATTCTACAGAAACCAGCGGAGAGCTCCGTGGGACAGCTGTGGTCATACAATAAAACGTGACACACTGAAATTAAGAACTGCCATGCACCTGATCAGTGTTCCCTCTAAGCTGAGTTAGTGGGAGCTAGCTCACAGTTTTTTAACCTCTGGCTCACACATTTTGGTCTTAGCTCAGGAAGGATGGCTCTGGAGCAAACTAATTTATGTAGTGGCCAAATCACCTGCTCACAACTTTAATGCCAGTTGCTCACAAAGTAGAATTCTTGCTCACAAGACTCCACAGCTGAGAGGGAGCATTGCTCCTGATTCAAGATACCTGGGGGAGGGGAACTGAAATATTTGAGGGGGGGAAGCCTCCCTTTCTCTTAAAAGACCCTATTTCAGTTTCTCCAATGGCAAATTTGGACATTTGGAGGAAGATTGAAAAAACACTCATCCAAACCATGTTCTTTTCGATTGAGTGAGATGCTTTGTGCAAAACTATGTTTTTTATTCTGGCAACAGAGCCCAAAGTATTAGTTCTCAAGACCCCCCAGAGCCGAAAACCAGTGCGGTGCTGGGGGCGTCAAACTGATTTGTTATGAGGGCTGGATCTGACATAAATGTCACTTTGTTGGGCCGGGCCATGCGTGCCATAAAATGTAACATAAAGTACTGGAGAGTATCATAGAATCATAGAATGTTACGAGTTGGAAGGGACCTTGCAGGTCATCTAGTCAAACCCCCTGCACTCTGCAGGAGCATAGCCGAAAGATAGCCCTACGACATACCCGAAAGATGGTCGTCCAGCCTCCGTTTGAGAACGTCCAGCGAAGGAGCATCCACCACCTCCCGAGGCAGACTGTTCCACTGCTCAGCCACTCTTACAGTTAGGAAGTTTTTCCTGATATTTAGCTAGTACTTTGTGTTACACACATGGCCCGGCCCGACAAAGTTTGGTGTCGTGGTTAAGTGTGCGGACTCTAATCTGGGAGAACCGGGTTTGATTCCCCACTCCTCCACTTGCACCTGCTGATGTGACCTTGGGTCAGTCACAAGCTCTGGCACAGCTGTCCTTGAAAAAGAGCAGTTTCTGTCAAGAGTTCTCTCAGCCCCACCCACCTCACAGGGTGTCTGTTGTGGGGAGGGGAAGGGAAAGGAGTTTGTAAGCCGCTCTGAGACTCCAAGTGAAGGGCGGGGTATAAATCCAATCTCTTCTTCTTCTTATGTCAGATCCAGCCCTCATAACAAATGGGTTCGACACCCCTGGACTGTCGTGGGCCAGCTTGACCAGCCTGAGTCTAGTGTGCCCGAAGACTCCTCAGGAGTCGAGGAGCCACATGCAGCCAGCTCTGAACTAGCTAAAGTTGGTGAATCAGAGATATAGGAGCCTCGAGATTCATTGCCGGCAACTGACCTCAACCCCACCCACACATCGTTCTGAAGTAGCCAAAGAAGCACAGCTGCAGCAACACAGCCCACCAGCCCCCACCCCACCCCCGTTAACTGACCAGCAAAGGGAAAAGCTCCAGCAAGACTTCAGGACACGCAGACGGAGTGCTCGCCTCTTGGCTTGGCGCCAGCTGCTTAAATGGCAGCAGTTCTGAGTAAGTGCGGGAGCACCTCTGAGCAGTCGGCTGTAAGTCAGGCTTGTTAAGGAAGGCCTGTATAAATCAGACCCGGAGAACTGCAGATTGTGGAAGCAACTTGTTACAACCCTGTGAAGTTTGTGACCACAACTCTGGACTCTGCCTGACTCCTGCAACCGGCTGACCCTCGACTCTACCTTTTGGACCTGCCTGATCAACGACCTCGGACTGCCTTGGCTCTGCTTTCCTGAACAACCCAGGAACTCTGACTGCTGCTAAACCAGTATTTGATCTCTGGTCTGGACTCTTGACTATGATCTAGCTCTGTTGCTTTGCTCTGTGGCCAAACTCTGTTGCCTAACTCTGCCTGTATTCCAGGACAATGGCTAGATCTGGGAGACCCAGGCTAGAATCCCCACTCTGCCACAGACGCCTGCCTGGGGGGGGAGGGAGGCTTGGGCCATTCACACATTCTCAGTCTCCAGTACTTCACAGGGTTGCTTTCAGGTTAAACACAAGAGAAGAGAACCATGTCCCCTACTCTGGGTCCCCGCTGGCATAAATGAAGCAAAAAAGAAAACTCAGCACTGGATAGCAGAGTCCGTGTGGGATTCCACAAGTATAAGCACGCAGAGGATAGAGTAACGGTGGAATAATTGCCACTTTTGGCAACAGCAACTCAGGGCATGACTTGGTAAGCAACACTCGGAGGAGAAGGAGAAGAAGAAGAGGAGGAGGAGGAGGAGGAGGAGACTAGATTTATACCCCACCCTTCACTACCCAAAGGAGGCTCAGAGCGGCTTACAAACTCCTTTTCCCTTCCCCTCCCCACAACAGACACCCTGTGAGGTGGGTGGGGCTGAGAGAGCTATGACACAAACTGCTCTTTTTCAAGAACAGCTCTGACAGAACTATGGCTTGCCCAAGGTCATCCAGCCAGGTGCAAGTGGAGGAGTGGGGAATCAAACCCGGTTCTCCCAGATTAGAGTCCGCGCACTTAACCACCACACCAAACTGGTTGCAGACGCCTCCACTTGGCACGTCAGAACGCTCACTTCAGGAAGTAGAAAAGTGGTGCACGGCCTGTTGGGAGGGCAGAAGGGATCAACTACGTGGACTGGAAGGGGCAGAGTTTAGGGTGAAGCAAAAGCATCACGCCTGGGGAGCCAGGATCAGACTCAAACATCGCCACGAGAACGGCTGGATGCGCCTCCCGTGCCGTCTGCCTACACCGGAGTGCCGCTGCCTTTCTGAGTCGGTGGACACCTTTGGAGTTCTGACGCGGGGCGGTGGGGAGACGATCGCAAACGGCAGCTGCATGAGGGCCAAGCCAGCCACAAAATGCCATGGAGGTTAAAAAGGTAAAGGTTCCCTTGCTTGAAAGCCAGTCGAATCCGACTCTAGGGTTGTGGTGCTCATCTCCGTTTCAAAGCCGAAGAGCCAGCGCTGTCCGAAGACGTTTCCGTGGTCATGTGGCCGGCATGACTAGACACCAAGGCGCACGGAACGCTGTTACCTTCCCACCGAAGTGGTACCTATTTATCTACTTGCAATTTCTTGCTTTCGAACTGCTAGGTTGGCAGGAGCTGGAACCAGAGACAGGAGCTCACTCTATCAAGCGGCACCCGGGTCTTGAACTGCTGAACTACCGACCTTCCACAGCCTGCAGTTCAGCGTCTTAACCACTTGAGCCACCGCAGCACCTGTCATGGTGGTTACAGATAGTTTAATAGTAACTCTTCAACATTTCAAGCAGAAGCTTAGGACCTTCTGCCTTCTCTACCACTGAGTCACAGCCCATTCCCTAAAAGAAGTCAGCACTGCTTACTCTGACTGGCAGCAGCTTTCCAGGATCTCATAGAATCAGAGAGCCAGAGGGGGCCATAGAGGCCATCTAGTCCCACCCCCTGCTCACTGCAGGGTTTGTCCAGTCACTGCTTAAAGACTGCCAGGGAGGGGGAGGACACCACCTCCCTTGGCAGCTGATTCCACTGTTGTTCAACTCTTACTGTCAAAAGGTTTTTCCTAAGATCCAGCTGGTACCTTCCCGCCCTTAATCTAAACCCGTCATTGCGTGTCCTCTCCTCTGCTGTTGACAGGAAGAGCTCCCTGCCCTCCTCTAAGTGACAGCCCTTCAAATACTTCAAGAGAGCAATCATGTTCCCCCCTCAACCTCCCCCAGACTACACATTCCTAAATCCATCAGCCTTTCCTCACAGGCTGGGCTTGGTCTCCAGGCCCCCCGATCATCCTCGTCGCTCTCCTCTGCACCCGCTCCATTCTGTCCGCATCCTTTTTGAAGGGAGGCCTCCAGAACTGCACACAAGACTCCAGGTGCGGCCTGACCAATGCAGTGTACAGCAGGACTATCACATCACATCTTGCGATCTGGATGTTGTGCCTCTGTTGATACACCCCCAAGATCGCATTAGCCTTTTCTGTCTCGCATGGGAGTCTTTCACACCACTCGGGCTTTTCAACTGGAGATGGCGGGGATTGAACCTGAGGCCTTCTGCATGCCAAGCAGAGGCTCTGCCACTCACATTACCTGCTACCTGGTCCTTTTAGCGGAAGATACCGAAAACTGAACCTGGGGCCTTTTGCATGCCAAATCAGATGCTCTACCACTGAGCTGTGGCTCTTGCTCCGTCTACTTCCCAGGTGCCCGAGACGGAACTGTCTGAAGCATCCTGCTCATCATTCGGGAACATCTCCCGGCCATCCCACATCCATGCCTCAAGCCCTCAAGGCCAAACTCAGGGACAACCCCTTTCCACAGGAGGTAGCTCGACGGGGAAGATCGGTGCCAAGGCGGCTCCTGGCACTCGGCTGTGGACGCTCCGGCAATTAATCCGGACCACACAGACGTCTGAGAAGAAAAGCTGGGAGGCGTGGGATTTTAATTGCAGGCGACTGGGCCCGCGCAGAGTGTTCCCGGCTGTCGGCTCTCGTCTCTTCAGCGATAAGCCAATGAGACCACGGACAACCCTCCGGAGGGAGCCGTGTTAGGAAAAGGAAGCAGGCACCATCTGGAAGCTGTCTGGCAAGCTTCGCAGCAGAACAGGCGGCGGCGGGGGGGGTGGTTGGTGGTCCGCAGGGGCTGGCTGTAGGCTGGGGCTTCGCGGACCAAGGAAGAGAAGCGAGGGAGCCCGCCCAGATCCGGGAAGATGCAAGGGACGGTGCTCGAAGAAGAAGAAGAGGAGGAAGAAGAAGAGGAAGAAGAAGAGGAAGAGGAAGAAGAAGAAGAGGAAGAAGAAGAGGAAGAAGAGGAAAAGGAAGAGGAAGAAGAAGAAGAAGAGGAAAAAGAGGAAGAAGATTTCTCTGGACACATACACTGTTTTGGGGTGTGCCGACTGGAATGCCTAAAGGAGGTTTGCATGTCCTCCTGTGGTCTGTTTTATTCGCGGTAATGGGATTAGGCATCTGTCATTATGGTAGAAGAAGAAGAAGAAGAGATTTTATTTATACCCAGCCCTTCACTACCCAAAGGAGGCTCAGAGCGGCTTACAAACTCCTTTCCCTTCCCCCTCCCCACAACAGACACCCTGGGAGGCAGGTGGGGCTGAGAGAGCTCTGACAGAGACTGCTCTTTTTCCAAGAACAGCTCTTATCAGAACTACGGCTTGCCCAAGGTCATCCAGCAGGTGCAAGTGGAGGAGTGGGGAATCAAACCAGGTTCTCCCAGATTAGAGTCCGCGCACTTCACCACGACACCAAACTGGCTCTGCCCTTCCGTGCTCACTTGGGAGGTGGCAGGAGGAGAGAGACGGCAGATTGGCCAACGGCCCCATGGGGATTTTGCAGCCTGTAGCAGTACAGAAGACATGGGTAGTGCTATAACTGAAGATGTATCCAATTGGACTATATCATACAGAGAATCTGTAGACCGTGGATGAGTTTGAACGATTGAGAGCCCTAAGGAGTGGGCCATTCGTTTGACCAGATCAGTGTAGGATGTGAGGTTGTCTGACGGAGAGATCGGCAAATATTGGAAGATATCCGGGTTAGGGGAAGTATGATCCGGAGTGGTTGGAATGTCAGAGGCTTCGGAATCAGATTCCTCTTCAGGAGTATCGGAAGACTCATCTTGAGCTGGGTGGGCCGTGGTGCCCCGTTGGCGTACGGCTGGTTTTGACTGACATGGGATAGACGGTTTGGGGTCAGGTTTTGGAACGACCGTGATACGGGGTGGAACGACTGTGAGCGGGGGTGGAACGACAGGAAGCTGGGGTAGACAGGTTGGTGTGGCTGCTCAGTAATCGGAGGACGCGAAACAGTAGCTGTAGGTCTCGACTTCAAAGGAGACCTAGATCTATGAGTAGACCGATAGGGATAACGATCCCATTCTGAATAGTTAGCAGGAGTTAACCAAGGCATAGGAGGGTGGTTGGGACCATACAAGTACCGCATTTGCGGGGAGGGCGGGATATAAATCTAATGATAAATAAATAAAAATAAACACATTACCAGAATTGGGGCACTCCTGCAGAGCTTTGGCCATCAGCGTGTTCGCGATGTTCTTCAATCCGGCTCTGTATTCTAATCGGACAGACTCCAGCCTGAATTAGTGAGGGACATCAAAGTATTACACGCGTGCTCGGAAAGTCTTCTGAAGAATGATCATACCGAGTCCTTCTTCACGCAAAGAGTAATAAACATGTGGAATTCACTGCCGCAGGAAGTGCTGGTGGCTACAAGCATGGACAGCGTCAAGAGGAGATTGGATAAATATATGGAGCAGAGGTCCATGAGTGGCTGTTAGCTACAAGGTATAGACACAACACCCTGTCTGGGGCAAGTGATGCTCTCTATTCTTGGTGCTTGGTGGGCAAAAGTGTGAGGGCTTGGGAGTTCTGGCCCCGCTGCTGGACCTCCTGAGGGCACCTGGTATTTTTGGGCACTGTGTGGCCCAGAGTGGTGGACTGGGTGGGCCATTGGCCTCATCCAACATTGGCTTCTCTTATGTTCTTAGGAGGGGATTGGATAAACATATGGAACAGAGAGGTCCATGAGTGGCTATTAGCCACAAGGTATAGATGGAACACTCAGTCTGGGGCAAGTGATGCTCTGTGTTCTTGGTGCTTGAGAGGGAGGGCTTCTAGTGTCCTGGCCCCACTGCTGGACCTCCTGATGGCACCCGGCATGTTCTTATATGGAGCTGAGGTCCGTCAGTGGCTATTAGCCACAAGGTATAGATGGAACACTCAGTCTGGGGCAAGTGATGCTCTGTGTTCTTGGTGCTGGAGAGAGAGGGCTTCTAGTGTCCTGGCCCCACTGCTGGACCTCCTGATGGCACCTGGTATTTTTGGCCACTGTGTGACCCAGAGTGTTGGACTGGATGGGCCACTGGCCTGATCCAACATTGGCTTCTCTGATGTTCTGAAAAAGAGTGGCCCCTCCCCTGGAGTTTCGCACTCACCACAGGTCTTGGTTCTTTGGATTCTTTAAACGAGACTTCTCCAAGATGGCCCTGGCCCGGGTGAGCTGGCCCACCTTCTCCTCAAGCCTGGACAGCAAGAGCCACAGGGGGATGGAGCCGGGGCACTTCTTCAGCTGTTGGAAACAAGAACCTCTGGCTTAGGACGCCTGGGCAATGAGAAGGCGCACGCCTGGGCAGCCACACACCACCACGGCTGCTGGCACACGGGGCTTCCCCATACACGTGCACACACACTGCGAGGAAGACGGGTCCGGTGTCGGCACTGGATGAGCCAGTGCTTGGTTCTCGCGGCCCTTTCTTCCACGCCCACGGTAATGTCGATCACTACTTTGAAGAAGAGAAGAAGGGATTGGATTTATACCCCGCCCTTCACTCGGCGTCTCAGAGCGGCTTACGATCTCCTTTCCCTTCCCCTCCCCACAACAGACACCCTGTGAAACAGGTGGGGCTGAGAGAACGCTGAGAAAACGGCTCTTGAGAGAACAGCTCTGAAAGAACTTGTGACTGACCCAAGGCCACACCAGCAGCTGCATCTGAAGGAGTGGGGAATCAAACCCGGTTCTCCCAAATTAGAGTCCGCGCTCTTAACCACTACACCAAACTGGCTCTCCTGGGATCAGGAAGGAATTCTCTCCTCCAAGCCAGATTGGCCCAGAAATCCTGGAGGTTTTCTGCCTTTCTCTGGGCACAGAGCAGGGGTTGCTGGGGGAGGAAGGCATCTGTGAATCTCCTTGCTTAGTGCAGGGGGTTGGACTAGATGACCCTTGGAAACCCCTACCAGCTCACCAACGCAAGCCAGTTTGGTGTAGTGGTTAGGAGTGTGGACTCTAATCTGGGAGAACTGGGTTTGGTTCCCTACTCCTCCACTTGCACCTGCTGGATGACCTTGGGCAAGCCGTAGCTCTGATAAGAGCTGTCCTTAAAAAAGAGCAGTTTCTGTCAAGAGCTCTCTCAGCCCCACCTACCTCACAGGGTGTCTGTTGTGGGGAGGGGAAGGGAAAGGAGTTCGCCAGCCGCTCTGAGACTCCTTAGGGAAGTGAAGGGTGGAGTATAAATCCAATCTCTTCTTCAACACAGAATGAAAAGGATAGATGAGAATAAGCTGGTCCCTCGCTCATTTCCCCAGTACGGCACACGCGAGGCCCGTGATTTATTACCCTGGTAGTTACAAGTGACCCTGCAAATTAAGTCACTTTCCCAGCACAAGTGATTAATCTTCTGCAGAGTGGTTCAAGCAGAACACGCAGGAAGGCTGGGAGGCGTGTTGGCGTGAGCTGTCACAGTTTTTGGCACTTGGCTGCAAAGTTGTGCTTAAGCGTGAAACGCAGAGCCAATAGTCTCACCTCATTTACCCTCTTCTGGCTAGACTATACCTTCCCACAGGGAGGGCAGGCTGCAGAGGTATTTACAAGCCACCGAAACGGCTCCAAGACTCCCTGCGTTCTATGGGAGACGGATTGTCCCCTTGTTTGTGTGACGTGCTGTCTAGCTGCTCCCGACTTGCAGCAACCCTATGAATTAATGTCCTCCAAACACACTCTCCTTAACAGCCTCGCTCAAGGCTTGCCAACTGAGGGTCGTGGCTTCCTTGATGGAGCCGATCCATCTCCTGTTGGGCCTTCCTCTTTTCCTGCATCCTTCCGCTTTCCTCTAGCATGATCGCCTTTTCCAGAGACTCCCGCCTTCTCGTAATGGGACCAAAGCAGGAGAGCCTCAGCTTAGTCATTTCAGCTTTATAGCATTGGGAAAAGTGCAGAAAAGGGTTGGAACACTTTCCCTATGAGGAAGGGTTAAGGCGCTTGGGGCTCTTTAGCTTGGAGAAACAATGACTGAGGGGTGAAATGATCGAGGTTTATAAGACTGTGCATGGGATAGAGCAGGTAGAGAAAAAAGTACTTTTCTCCCTTTCTCACAATACAAGGACTCGTGGACACTCAGTGAAATTGCTGAGCGGTCGGGTTAGAACGGATAAAAAGAAGTCCTTCTTCACCCAAAGAGTGATGAACACGTGGGATTCACTGCCACAGGAGGTGGTGGTGGCTACAAGCATGGGCGGCTTCAAGAGGGAATTGGATAAGCATATGGAGCAGAGGTCCATCAGTGGCTCTTAGCCACAAGGTATAGACAGGGACTCTGGGGCAAGGGATGCTCTGTCTTCTTGGTGCTTGGTGGGGGGGGGGGCAACAGTGGGAGGGCTTCTAGTGTCCTGGCCCCACTGCTGGACCTCCTAATGGCACCTGGTTATTCTTGGCCACGGTGTGACAGAGTGTTGGACTGGATGGGCCATTGGCCTGATCCAACATTGGCTTACGTTCTTAAGCCTCTAGAGAGATGTGACCTAGAAACCCGCTTATCTGTCTTTTGGGCAGTCCACGGTATCTGCAAAACTCTCCTCCGACGGCACGTCCCAAAGGAATCCCCTTCCTGTCCCGTCAGCCTTACCCCTTGGTTGTAGGCCTCCCGGGCCTTTTCGATCAGCTCCTCCTGCTCCTCGATCTGCCCTTTCATCATCCACAGCTTGGGGAAGTCCTCGTAGTGCCTCAGGGCTTCCTCGCAGAGCTCCTGAGCCGCGGCGATGTTCCCCAGCACCCACTCGAGCTTGACGGACTTCATGAAGACCTGAGTAGACAACAGCACGCCGCCGAGTCAGGGGAATGCTCTTCACAGTCTTTTCACAGTCAAATGTGCATGAGGACCCCCACCCACCCACCTTTATTTTATTTTATTTTTGGGATTTATATCCCGCCCTAGCCATACGGCCCAGGGCGGCTAACAAGCGGCCATGCCGAGATAAAACATAGAATACATTAAAACTTCAATAAATACAAACTAAAATGGTGCTCTACAGTACGTGTTAAAGATTCATTTCAAAGTTCATTTCAAAGTTCAAGATGGTCGATGTCCCTCATTGGCGGCCGATGGAATAAACGCCGGAGCGCCAGGATGATGTTCCTCTTCTGGGCAACATTTTACCCCCCATCCAAGGCCAGGTAGATGGTAAATCAGCCACGATGGTGGTATAGTGGCGGCGGCGGCAGCTCCTACTCGAAAGCCTGGCGGAAGAGCTCCGTCTTGCAGGCCCTGCGGAACTGCACAAGGTCCCGCAGGGCCCTGATCTCCGCCGGGAGCTCATTCCACCAGGTAGGAGCCGCCACCGAAAAAGCCCTGGCCTTGGTTAGGGCAAGCTTGATGTCCCGGGGGCCTGGAACCTCAAGGAGGTCCAGACTCCCTGATCGCAGCGCTCTTGGGGGAACATACCTTGTGGCTTTATGGCCACTGTCTGGCTGCTGATTGGTAGTGGAGGGTGCCATCAAGTTGCGGCCGACTTATGGCAACCCCGTAGGGTTTTCAAAGCGACAGGCAAACAGAGGCGGTTTTACCATTGCCTGCCTCTGTGTAGCAACCCTGGACTTCCCTGAGGGTCTCGCATCCAAGTACTAACGAGGACCAACAGAAGAGGAGGAGGAGGAGGTGGAGGAGGAGGAGGAGGAGGAGATTGGATTTACACCCTGCCCTTAGAGCGGCTTACAATCTCCTTCCCTTCCTCTCTCCACAACAGACACCCTGTGAGGCAGGTGGGGCTGAGAGAGCTCTGAGAACTGCTCTTGAGAGAACAGGAGGAGGAGAGGAGGAGATTGGATTTATACCCCGCCCTTCACTACCCAAAGGTGTCTCAGAGCGGCTTACAAACTCCTTTCCCTTCCCCTCCCCACAACAGACACCCTGTGAGGTAGGTGGGGCTGAGAGAACTCTTGACAGAAACTGCTCTTTTTCAAGAACAGCTGTGCCAGAGTTATGGCTTGCCCAAGGTCATCCAGCCAGGTGCAAGTGGAGGAATGGGGAATCAAACCCGGTTCTCCCAGATTAGAGTCCACGCACTTAACCACTACACCAAACTGGCTCTCTCAGCCCCACCTGCTCTGAGAGAACTCTGGCTTGCCCAAGGTCACCCCAGCAGCTGCATGTGGAGGAGTGGGGAATCGAACTCGGTTCTCCCAGATTAGAGTCCGCGTTTCTAACCACTACCTTCAGAGATCAGGGTCGCCTGGGCCATCTAGGGCAGGGCAGACAAACAGAGGTGGTTTGCCCTTGCCTGCCTCTGCATAGCAACCCTGGACTTCCTTAGGGGCCTCCCACCCAAGTACTAACCAGGACCAACCCTGCTTAGCTTCCCAGATCTCACGAGATCAGGCTGCCCTGGGCCCGAGTCAGGCTGTCGACTGCAATGGATTGAATTGATGCTACTGGTCTTAATAATGACGTTGCTCACTAAACTGTAAGCCTAGCTGACCCAGTCTTAGCCTGACTCAGAGTCCACTACCCCCCTTTTTGGAATAAGCACAATGTCTACTATCTGTGCCTCATACCCAGGGATGAGAGCAGAGCTGAGGCTGGAATGAACACAGGCTCAGAGACAGAGCGAGACGTAGAAGACCCCAAGTTCAATCCCCGGCATCGCCAGTCGAAACGTCTCAAAACTGAGGGTCTGCGAAAGACCCTTGCCATGAGTGGGTTCAGCTAGAGTCAGCAGCGAGCCTCGTGGATCTGACGCGGCATCAAAGACATCTTCCGCGTGGGACCTGGCGGGCAGCAACCGCGAGGACAGAATGCGCCCGAGACCTACGCCCAGCTTACCCGGGCTGTCGGGGCACTGCTCCGCGCTTTGGCCAGCAGCCTCCTGGCTCTTTCGTACTCGTTGTTCTCAGATTCCAACTTGACGGCAGCCAGCCAGATCTCTTCGCTGTTGGGGTTGGCCTAAAGGACCAAGAAAGAGACGAGACGTGAGAGTGGGGGCAGGTGTCAGGGCTGGCTCAGCGTCCACCGCTTCATCAATCCGTGCCGGGCAGAGTCCTCGGTTCTGCCCTGTAATAAACGGCTTTCCCCATTACATTCTGATCACTGTCCGGGGAGATATTCACTCAGCCTTCACGACCGCCGCTCCTTCTGCCAGCCGAGGACTCCGAGACCCAAGTTCAAATCCCCAACGTCTCTGTTTAAATCAGGGGTCCCCGACCTGTTTGAGCCTGCAGGGACATTTGGAATCTTGGCATGGCGTGGTGGGCGCAGCAGTAAAATGGCGGCCACGGGAGGCGGAGCCAGCCACAACAGGGCTGCCGGAGCTTAACTTCAGTTAACACGGCGGAGATCCTTGTGCTGTGGTGGCAGCTGCTGCCAAAGCAAGACTTTAAAAAAAAAAATCTGTACAGCCAATTAAATCTGCAATGGCCAATCAGAAGCCTTCGGGAAGGGGCAGAATAGAAATCAAACAAACAAACAAATAAATAAGTCTTGCTGGGTAAAAGCCCCACCTGGTCCCACTTACTTTCTACAAACACTTGGTGGGTGCCAGAAAAGTTGTCGGCAAGCAACATGGCGCCCGCGGGCACCACGTTGGGGATCCCTGGCTTAAACAGTCCCGAGACTGCAGTCTCAAGGAGACTTTCCCCAATGCAAGATGCCACTGCTAACTGAACAAGATGAATGGGATCCGACCCATGGTTTCCTTTTTTCACAGGCAACAAATGATTTGTCATCGGCATGTGCGAGAACAGGCACTTCACATGGAATTCACTGCCACAGGAAGTGGTGGCGGCTACAAGCATGGACGGCTTCAAAAGGGAATTAGATAAGCATCTGGAGCAGAGGTCCATCAGTGGCTATTAGCCACAAGGTATAGATAGGGGCTCTGGAGCAAGTGATGCTCTGTCTTCTTGGTGCTTGGGGGGGGGGGGCAACAGTGGGAGGGCTTCTAATGTCCTGGACCCACTGGTGGACCTCCTGATGACACCTGGTATTTTTGGCTTCTGTGTGACACAGAGTGTTGGGCTGGATGGGCCACTGGCCTGATCCAACATTGGCGTCTCTTATGTTCTTATGTTCAGTAAACATGCTTATTGGGGGCTAAAAACCTTCACGGACTTCTTTGCAAGATGTTTGGAACGTCTTGCCGGAAACGTTTGCTGGAAACCAGCTGTTTCCAGCTCTTTATAAAAGGTAATAAGCTGAATTTATTCCTGGAGAGCTTTCTTAGGTTTGTCTACATGCGGCCAAAAGAAGCTTCAATCCTCATCGACTGTCTTCAAACTGCTGCTCCACATCAGGAGGTTAACCCACTTTAACTCGTTCTCTATCACTGAAATCTGTTAAAAACCAAGACAGTTAAAGGCATGCATTTCCCAACATTTCTAGGTTCCTAAAGAAAAGGAAAGATGTAGTGAGGAAGGACAGGATGAATTCCGCTCCGCCACCACACCTCTGCTCCCGTTCTGAACATGAAAACCACCCGCTGAACCTAAAACCTAAGAGACTTGTGGGAAAAATCAAGATGTATTCTATTTATTTACTTCATTTATATGCCACTTTCCCCCCCAGTGAGGACCAAAAAGGGTTTACATTGTTCTCCTCTCCCCCATTTAATCTTCACAACAACCCTGTGAGGTAGGTTAGGCTGGGAATCTGTAAATGGTCCAAGGCCAACCAGTGATTTCCATAGCAGTGGGAACTTGAACCTGCGTCTCCCATCTCCTCGTCTGACGCTCTAACCACTTCACGACACTGGGGAAATAAACAGATACACTTGCATACGGAAAACCCCCGGGGGCACGATAAGGATTCAGCATTTTGTTGTTGCCAGTTCTCCCAGCCCAGGGGAAGACGGCC